GCAGCTTCGGCTTCCAGACTCTCCTCTCCGAAATGCCGACCTACCTGGCCAACATCCAGCACTTCGACATGAACAGCGTCAGTATTTTATATTGCTTGGGGCTCCTGAAGTCAAAGGACTGATTAAATGAAGGTCGGAGGGTTGGTAAGAGCGACTGTCCCGTTGCAGAGTGGGTTGATGTCCGCGCTGCCGTATTTGTGCATGTGGATCTTCGGCCTCAGCTGGGGCGTCTGCATGGACCGCCTCGCCGCTGCCGGGCTGCTCTCCGTGACGGCTGTGAGGAGGCTCTCCACTGGCTTCGGTGCGTTCCCTGTGCCCTTCTTCGCACTTTTCCAGACTCTTTTTTCATCCAAGAGTTGGTCTGTTACAGTAAGGTGCGGGTTTATCTAGAAACGAATATAGAAATGGCTTGTTTTTCCTTTACTTCCTTTTTATATTTCAGTATCATTATTAGATTATTAAAATGACCGTATCTCAAAGGCAGTTTCACTATTATTTGTAAAATATTCATTAAATATATCTAACGAATTGCCCGTAACCTTATGTTCCTCGAGACAAAAAAGAAACGAATAGCTATTGTGTGTATCAGTTACGTACGCCATCCCTCTGCCATTCGTCTATGATCCTGCCATGAGGTCACCATTCCACCTCGGAGTCACCCTGCCTACCCCGCTCATCTACACACTTTGGCAAAGAAACTTACCAATAATCGAGGAGTAAAGTAGCTTACTAATCGACAACTTCCCTAAGAGTAATCAGTAATCGCTCGTACGAAGATTTGCTTGTAACGCCCACCATTTGCTGAATTCATTTCCTCTGCGACGCAGCTCACTACGTGCCGGCGGTGGCTCTCGTCGTCATGTGCTTCGTGGACTGCAACTCCACCCTGGCGATGGTCGTGCTGTGCCTAGCGGTGGGTGCCTGCGGCAGCGCCTATAGCGGCAACGCCCTCGCCGAGCAGGACATCGCGCCCAACCTGACGGGGACGCTGATGGGGATCACCAACACCATGGGCGCCGTCATGGGGTTCATCGCGCCCTCCGTCACGGGCGCCATCACACAGGGAAGAGTAAGACAATGAACGAGATTTTTAAGATTCATTGTAATCTCGCCAACCTAGGATTCCATTCCTTTTATGTCTGAGATAGTCCTTGAGTTTGCAATCTAATCCTTTTGTTATCTGTTTCCTATATTGTCCATTCTTAGTTTGATCGTGTAACGTGGATCTTCAAGAAATATCAATTCAGTGAACTAACCAGCCTTAAGAGATGATAATTCTAATGAAATCGATAACTGCAAATGATGATGCCAGTATCGCACCTATATTTTCACTCAACACTGAACCTTCTAACCCGTGCAGCAAGGTTCACTGGGTGCTTGGAGAACCGTCTTCCTGGTGTCGGCAGCGAACTACGTGGTCACAACCACCCTCTACATGCTCACTATGTCCGCGCAGGTCCAGCCTTGGAACCATTCTCAGAAATCCAGGGGTTAGTAGGGACGCCTCGCTGCACTCGGTTCACATTAGTAGTAAATGGAGAAATATGTTGATGTATGTGTAGAAGATATATGAATAGATTTGTTATATAGCTGCATGCTTAACGAATACTATGTAAATGCCGACAGAAATTATTTGTCTTTCTGATGTCACATTTTTTTTTTCTAGATCGTCGTGAGGATCCTGAAGGTGCCCCAGCCTTAGAAAAACTTAAGTCATAACAATTTGAAAAAAAAAATTTTAGGATCAGGCACATATCCTTCTATTATCGTTCTTCACAAAATAGAACATTCCGAGTAACGCTCAATTCACTTCGGTTTCCGTGGCGTATATAAAACATGAACGTACTATGTCGAAAATGATGTCTTAGTTATGACTTCACGAAGTTATTTCATAATGACATATATGTATCTCCATCCATGTTTGCGTTATGTGTTTATTCACTTCAGGTGTATATTATTTTCTCGCACCGATCAAAAAGGACAAAAGGAAAGAAAGAAAGAAAGAACGACAAAAAGATGTCCTTGACAAAGTAGCTATAACTCACGACAGACTGACAGGTAATCATTAAATATTTATGGGAGAGCTGATGATCATTATTAAATTGTAACAAGCTAGTGATCATTAATTAGACGTTGACAGATTGTTGATGACACCTTTATTCTGACCTTACAATAAGCTAAATATTGCCAACCTTTCCAGCTCTCGATGAAAAAAATCCTATCGGTTTAAGAGGTTTAAATCTCGAATCACATTTAATCGGAAAAAAACTATATTGTCAGAATCACAAATGCAGTGTAAAATCATGAAATGTATTTCTTACCATTACAGGCTATCACATCAGTATTATATTCAGGTCTTTTTTACTATTATTTATTATTTATCACGTGCCATTGGTTTATAAGTTACTGCTGTTTTATTGATTTATCTTATAACCTTTTTATCCCGTAATGATATTTAATCTTAATTATTTTTATCTTGATTATTTTTTCAGGTTATTAT